GGACAAGGACAAGGACAAGGACAAGGACAAGGACAAGGACAAGGACAAGGACAAGGACAAGGACAAGGACAAGGACAAGGACAAGGACAAGGACATCTGAACCTCAATGCTGAGCAAGTAGCAGAGCAGAAGCAGGAAGTAAATAGGCTACACAACTAGACACACCAGAAAGACATGAATAATCACAAGGAACTAGGAACAGGTGAAAAGTAGAGCGCCCTCTAGGTGTACTGGGCGTGACATTACCACCATCATCACATAAACTGAACTCAAACGCCTCCCCTCACATTCATCTCAAGCTTTCCTCCTCCACCCTATCTCCACCTTTCAGCTGCCCCTTGCTTCACTCAGTCTGAACGGGTGAAGTCTACTTGTCCTGTGGCCAGAATACTATAGTTCAACACATAACAGCAACAAAAGGATATTCTGAGGTCCTGTAAATCAAGAACAGTCTAGCAAATCTCTAGCAAATCAGGTTGTATCAGAGCTTAGCATTTTTAATAGTACCGCAGACCTGCTTATAGAGGAATACAAATTAAAATGTAGGATTTATAACCAAAAAAGTGTGCAATATGTGATGGAATTGTGGAATTTGGAAAAGGCCTGTCTATATTGAACAGTCAATGATACCTTGTACAAGCCAGAAACTTGAAGGAAGTTGGGAGTTTTTTGTGCAAATAGAAATAAGAGCTCACATGCTCTGGGATTATTTAGTCTTTGAGATGCCATGTGACGTAAGGACGTGGGGGTTGTATTTTTATTAGCTGCTGGGGCAGGGCAGTGAGTAGGATTAAGTCAGCTGCAGATGTGTGATATAAGCCTTTGACCTTATTGCATTACTGCAATCATATAATAGAGTGTTCATTTGCTGTTAGTAACTGAAAACTGTTTCGCCCTTGTTACCATGTTGCTTCATAATCATTAATAAGCCCTTGACTGGTGTTTTTAGGCAATGCCTTATCCTATACCACATTATGCTCATAAAAAACCACCTGGTGTACCTTATTTATTATATGAACTCCAGTAAGGCAAATAAAAAACATACATGTGTTTGTGATATATTTAATTGGTCTTAATGCCTGTTTTGGTATGTTATACAATTTGGGTGCTGAAAATCAAATCCAAGCACGGTAGCTATCCTTGCAGGGGCTATTTGAAGTGATACAGTACATACAGTAGAGCATATCAATGTAGTGATGTTGAATTACATATGGAAAATGACACAAAACAACCACCTACTGTAGCACTTCTAGCCCCTTTTAAGACTTGGACAGTCCTATATTTGTTTGAGCTCGACTGATGGCCATAAATGATTAAAAAAAATTAAAAAAGGCATGAAATCCTACATGATAGCTGGACACTTTGCAGCAATTGATTTGCGTTTGCCAAGAGAGCAGAAGTGCTAAAAGTCACATCTCCTACCAGACGGCAACCAATTTTCACAGCAGAGTTTAATTGACCTCCTATCTCTTTCTTGAGAAATAATGATAAGTGTTTCAGAATTCAGATGGCAGGGTTTGAAAGCATGACAGGACAATTGTGAAGCTGATTTGCAAACCTGATTTACCAGAAAAACCGCTAATGAAATAACTTGCACATGTTTGTACTTGCTTATTGCATCCGTTTGTTAGCTACTAGGATGGAAGCATCAATGGGATGTCTTCTTTACACTTCATCCATTATCTGATAGTAGCTTGTTTTGATAATGGTTTTGACAAGCTAGAGCCTGTCCTGGAAGCATAGGTTACATAGCACGATTAAGACACCAACACATCTACTGCCAAGAACACTTACAGTAGTAATAGGACACCTCAAGTACAGTATGGCACTGTACAGTGTAGGGATGCAATATGTCACAGCAGACTGTCAAAGTTTTGCAGTATATTTATTACAAAACACCTGAAACACATTTCTTTAGAAGAGATAAAGAATCAAGCATGAACTTTGCTGAGTACCTTTTATACATTAACTGCAGCAGAGATCAACATTTTGTGTTACCTTATAAAGAATGAAATTTTGTGTCAGGAGGCAAAGATATATTTGGACTTTCAAATGACAAAGTACACAGAATGTTCAGCTACTCATGCAACAGTTCTCAGTGCCCTGTCCTGGTTAGCTTAAATCATGATTTTTACTGCAATAGGGTTAAAGAGGAACTGCAGTCCCAATTTCTCAGACCAGTTATTAAATCTCAGGAACAAAATAAATTAATTCCTAGAACAATTTTTCAAATTTTGAATTAACCATAAAATCGTGAACTTTGTGAAGGTGCTGTAAGTCACTTGCGTTTGAGTTCCCACAAATTGCAACATGATGTGGCACTTCCTGCTTGCTAGTTTCCATAATGACTAATGTAATGTGAAGTTTTAGCAAATAAGCACAGGTTGTACCGCAGACATTTAACAGCAGAAATGTTCCAACACGATCTGCATGCAGACCTAATAAGTAAGCTCCATTCTTCGGCAAAATCAAGTGCAATATTTCTATTGCATTAAAAGAGATTTATTCATAAGTCTGCTTGTTTACAATGTAATAAGGCAGCAACACATCACCTGAAGTTTTGTTGCCTCATTCTGAATTGCAGATCATGGCACTGAGCAAACATGGAAATTTTGTCTATTTTGTAAATTGAAGGTTTTACAAGTCACTGTGTCCATTTTATTTTTATTGTGGCTTGAAATGCACTGATCAATGCTGATTCTTCCTAACTCCAGAATCGAAAATAGTGTTGCAGTTCCACTTTAAAAGTTGTGGACTGCATCTAAACACACGGGGGTAAAAATAATGAATATTACCTATAGTAAAATCCAAAGCCTTCAAGAGAAAATAGTTTACTCCATATTCATTATCACAAAACAACAAAACTAATATCCTGTTCATGTCTCAAAAGATTGGCAGATGCAGGAGGCACATGGTCACATGGGAAACTAGATTAAGAATATTTCATTATTATTTAAAGAAATAATAAAAAAAAATATTGAGAACAGCATGATCAGAACACATTGCAAAATTCCCATTTTTGAGTTTATGACATACCCATGAACACGTTTCTTAACTTCTTAGTGAAGACTTAAGCCAAGTTTTACATAAAGCTGGAAAGTGTAATGCCGTCAGTAAATGCTCTGCAGAATAAGCTCCTTACGTTCATGT